TTTATTACCCGGTAAAGGTAAAGGGGTGAATTAGCAGCAATATAATGATCCTGGAAGGTGAAGGATTGAGACTTTAAACCCCCGTATTGATTCTGCCTCGTGCGTGCTCCGTTCCACCACGCATGCCTCCCTGAGCACGGCCTCCACTCTGCCTGCAGGGACCGTCTCAGACCTCAGCGCCAGAGAGCCTCTTCCTCCCTTGGGCATTCATTCGTCTGCCTTTATTAGTAGTCAACTCTGACAGAATGGGAGCACGCATTTAGGCTTTTATATTTACTCGATAGCCAACCTTGCCTCTCTGCCTAGAAGTTGCATTTGGAACAAGTCATAGGCACAAGAGTCAAATGGACAGAATTTGCTGTCCATTCCTTCTGGCTACGTTGTCCCTGCCGGAGAGCAAATGGGTCTTTGCTGCAGCCCGGCAGCTGAGGTGTGGCTAGCCCGTGAGCTGTCTGAGGCGAGGACTATTCCGTTTCATCCTTAATAGTTCAACAGTGACTAGCATCTCAATGTTCGTCCCCAAAATGAACACATGATAAACCAATTCATCATAAGTATGATGTTCTCAGTACATAGTTTTTCATATTAGAAGAGAACTTCTGGGAGGAAACAGGAAGTGACTCACTAATGAGAGAATTTCAGGCACCAGGAGAGAGACATATTTAGGAGAGGGGGTGAGAGGGACTTGTGTCACTTCAAAGCGCATAATGTGAAATTTTCATGTTATTTCGCTTCATTTCTGGTAGTCCCCGATTTGAGAAACTACCCCAAAATTCTAGAAAAACAAGAATGTTGGGTAGACTATTTAGAAAATGAATGGGCAGATTTTGCATCATCTCAGTTTGATGGTTAGCATATAAAAGCATCCTGTATACCATCTGCCACCTTGGAAAGGCCTCGTGGCACCAGGGACACCACTGGCTTACTTCACTCTGTGGTTCTCCCAACCCGTCCAGCAGACACCATTGCCTCAACTTGTCCTTCTGGCCCTTTACTCCTGACTCAGGTCAGTCCCTGACTTCTGCTCGCATTCTCCTTCCAATGCAGTTGTAACTTCACCAGTGATATTCATTGCCTAGTACCTTATTGGGCCAGTCTCCAGAATTTGGTCTAGGCTTCCTGCCAACTCCGGTTGCCCATCAGCCACATCGACTGCTGAAGCAGCCCTCTTCTGCCCCCTCCTGTCATAAGTCTGCTTGTGCACAGTTTAGCCCAGGTAAATCAATCCTATTCATGCATTCAGTAGTAATTTACTGACTGTTTGTCAAATGCAGGTGCTGTACTAGGGGCATGTGACATAGCAGTTAATAAAACAAAACAAAACAAAATAATTGCTGAGGGGAAGGTCAGGGAAAGCTTCCTGCATGATGTGACATCATAGCCAACCTAGTCAGGGACCTTCATAAAGTCCTTTTCTTCTTAGAGTATTTCCTGTGATTGCCATAATAAATAACCGCAAAACGGGTGGCTTAGATAACTGGAATTTATCCTCACAGTTCTGGAGACCAGAAGTCTGAAATCAAGATGGAGCTGTGCTCCTTCTTAAGGCTCTAGGGGAGAATCCCACTTCGCGTCTGTTTCCGCTGGCTCTGGGTATTCTTTGGCTCCCAGTACATCCCTCCAGTCACTGCGTCCGTCGGCACATGCCCTCTCTGAGTGTGTATGTGTGCGCCTCTTCTCTTTCTCATAAAGACATTTGTCCATGGGTTTAATCTCAAGCTCTTTAATTTAATTATATCTTCAAAGACACTCTTTCCAAATAAGGCCATATTTACAAGTTTCTGGAGTTAGGATGTACATATGTGGAGATTTTTTTTGGGGGGGTTCCATTAAACACAATATTATACTGTCAGTTAAATTGTTTCCTATCCAAAATGGAAAAGGGCACTGAATTTAAGCTTCTATAATTAATTGTTATATGATGGCGTGGGGTGGGGCCTGCTAGGTGTGAACCCATAATGTTATGTATGATTTCCAATTATAACCACCTTTTAGGATGACAACTAGGATGAAGGGCTTAAACCTTCCAAACCTGGCCAGTGTGGCTCACTAGGTTGAGCGTCGACCCATGCACCAAGAGGTCTCCAGTCGAGTCCCAGTTGGGGCACATGCCCAGGTTGTGGGCCAAATCCCCAATGGGGGACATGCAGGAGGCAGCCAATTGCTGTTCTCTCTCATTGACGTTTCTCTCTCTCTCTCCCTCTCCCTTTCCCTCTCTCTCAAATCAATAGAGAAAAAAATAAATAAATAAACTTTCCAAATCTAAAGCTTATAATTAACTCCCTTTCCATGAAAAATGAGGGCTACACATCCTACATTCATCCTTGCGGTGGGGGATACCTGCGGTAACTTCAACTCAATTTCTCTTTTCAAGAAGACCACACAGCAGTGCCGAGCAGTCGAGATGGTTTTCTGCCTAAGCTTATTTATTCATAATTCACTCTCCAGTGAGGCAACCTTCTGCTCAGTGGCAGTGGAAGTGGTGGGTGTGGGGAGAGTTATTTAGGAGGTACAGAGTTGTGGGGCTTGGTGAATAATTGGTTATGTGAGCGAGAAGCAGGGAAGCTGCAGAGAAGACTCCAAGGCTGGGCAAGATGCTGAGTTTAGCGTTGACTATGCTGAATCTGAGGAAGCGGTAGCTCAGCCAAGTGAAAAAAATCATTAAACCGCTGGCTGATGGATCTCTACTGTCTTAAATTATTATTACAGGGTATTGTTTGTTTTTTTAATGAAAGGAAGCTGTATTGATAATTTTTGTGTGTGTATCATGAGGGATTTGAGTTGCATCTTTAAAGTTTTAACTCAAGTTTCAACATACAAATATTCCTTAAACATGGTGCTAGGTATCAGATACATATATATTTTTAAGCTTGAAAATATATTTTAAATATAAGTAATTTTACTTCATTCTTCATATATTTGCTTGACTCTTAAGTTTATTATTTATTTATTTATTTATTTATTTATTTATTTATTTATTTATTTTTGTACGTGCCCCTAGCGGGAACCAAACTCGGGACTCTCTGGTCTGCAGGCCGACGCTCCGATCGCCAAACCGGCCAGGGCTTGACTCTTAAGTTTTATATAGACGTAATTATTTTAAAATCTGCCTCTTGTTTCCTTTTCCATAGGCTTATCAATTAAACATTCAAAAACAAGCTGTTCATTTATAATTTAGATTCTCTTCTATTACTTTCATCTACTCATTCTCTTCTTAAATCAGTGAGAGGAGAAATGGGCTTTGTTATTGGTCTTTCTCTTTTTCATAGGATGCGAATTATACTTAGAAAAACTTTCCTCCCAGCTTTGGTGGAAACAGTGACATACTTGTATTGACTGTGAACTTGCAAGCATGACACTGACTTCCAACTTTGCGCTCATTGTTTCCCTTCTAATGACTCAGCTGTTCACGCCACTTTAGCAGATAAAGAACCAGCTAAGGTGGCACTGGCATTGTGACAATCAGTGTGTTAGCATAAGTCCTTCACATTTTATTCTATATTTAAGATGTCTTTTTAAAAATTATATTTATACTTACTTTTATATGTTCATTCAAATATTTAAGTAAAATTTGTTATCTGGTCATGTTATTTCTTAATATGCTTGAATTTTCATGAACACAGGTTAAAAAAAGAGAAAAGTTTTAAGAGAAATAAACATTGAGTGCCATGGAGTTTAGGCTTTAATACGATAATGGAACATCACCAGTGTATTCACATAATTTTCCTTAGCACCACAGTAGCTGACTGAAAAACTGAAGTGAATAAGACTTCATTCCGGGACTGATAAGAGTCTATTCAGTGAAGGACACACTGCTAGTCAATGTATCAGATGCCTCATTATACTGACACACTAGAGAAAAATGTTCTGCTTTTTAAATTAGGCATTTAAAATGAAAATGAGCATCAAACCAAACATGCTACCTGACAATTCCTTGTATCTCTACTTTGCTATAAAATCCTGTGTCATTTTCATGGGAAGAGTGATGTCAACATGAGTTACATGAGTTTTTGAAGCAAAAAAAAATGATACTCAAAAGTGATGTTGACTTCTTCACCAATCTAAGCCATGCCATACATGCAATATGTCATACGTACGCAAGGGCAAAAGATAGATACAATTTTATCCTTGGGTCATTAAAATTTGTAATTGTTAAATTTTTGCTATCAAATTGATTTTACAAAGTTAGTAATGAAAGAAAGGTAGGCAAAATAGCATTCACAGAGCATCATGTTCAGTAAGATCAAGAGTAGGTGATGTTGGCCCTGGCTGGTTTGGCTCAGTGGTTAGAGCATCGGCTTGTGGTCCAGAGAGACTCGGGTACGGTTCCCGCCAAGGGCACGTACCTCAGTTGCAGTTTGTCCCCGGCCCTGGTTGGGTTGTGTGCGTGGCAACCATTCCATGTGTCCCTTTCACATCGATGTTTCTTTCTCTCTCTCCCTCCCACTTTATCTGAACAAAAAATGGAAAAATGTCCTTGGGTGAGGATGAAAAAAAAAAAAGAGTAGGTGATGTTGGGAGAAATTCTGATATCACTAAAATGTCTACTTCTCCAATAATAATATTCTAAACTTATGCTTGGGGAATAGTTTAGTGCCCTAGGAAGAGTGTATGAAAAGAGTATATGTTGACCTTTAGATCATACTGTTTATAATTCACATTGTATAGAAATTACTTTAAAAACACATGTCATTCCAAAACATCCAGAGTTGTATAACTATATTTTATATTGAAATCTTCAATGAGCAGAGTTAGCCTTTATGATTTAAAGCTACAGGAAAATTATCATCCAGATTTACAATTCATATTAGATTTAAACAGCAGCAACTGTACAAAAAAAAGATTTTGAAGATGACAGTTAAATTATACCCATAAATAAAAATAACCTTGACTAAGACTCAAATTTGGCTGAATTTTAAGTGGAGGATTATATCAATTACAAGATAAAGAAATCTTCTACTTCTAAAAAAGGCATCCTGTTCTATCTTAGTCACTCTTACCAGTAAAGACGATGGGCAATCCGGATGCTTTGCAATGAGCGGTGTAGTAGGAGTTGCACTAGCGGACTTTCAAGGTTCCATTCAAACTTGATAGCCTGAAGTAAGAGATAGAGTTACTTTACTCTTTTTTCAGTAATACAATTATAGCAGAATACAGAAGGACTTAAGAGACTGGAGAAAAGACCAGGGGATGTGTCTTTTAACAAGATGTGAATACTATATTTTGATAGCTTTATTTGCAGGTGCATAACTATCAGAGCACACACACATCACAGAACTTAGGTTTGTGCAGTTTTGTTTCCTTTCCTATGTATGCTTTAGTATCACAGGGTTATAAATATGAGCAGGCAGTTGGTAAAATTCAACCATGCCTAGGAGGAGAGCCCTGGCACAAAAATATAATACCATGAACAGTGTTCTGAATATAAAAATGGCAATATTAAGAAATAGATATTTCTACCCCTTTGGGGATGTAATAAACACATCCAAAGGCTTAACTGAAATTACCAACTTCTGTATCAATATTAAGCTGCAGACCTTGAAACTTTACTTATTGGTTTGAAAGCTGATTGTTGGCACCATCACCCACACAATCTCAAATTCTTTCCCTCATCTCCACTGGAACAGCTCTCTTAAGGTCTCTAGGATACCCAACCTGGAAGAAAACAGGCAGCAATGGCAGCCGCTGATAACCTTGGAGACCTAATTCAGACTGCCACCTGCACGGTGCAGGGGCTTCCCCATCAGCAGTCGGTACCTGGGCCCCCAACATCATCCCATGAATCTGAACATGTAAAAATGAAAATCAGGTTCTCTTCAGAAAAATGCTTCTTCCTGCGTGAGAGGCAAAGCTCCTATCTTTATTTGCTCAATAAACCATTCAAGTCACACACACACACACACTCAGAGTTTAAGCCAGGTTTTGTGCTACAGTACAGACAGAAGAAATAAGTTGGTACATCATTCATTCACACACACACCTGAAGAAACACCTCAGTGTGCTAACTGTCCCCAAGGATGAGAAAGTTGATGAATTCCTAAGGTGTGAGGATACTAACGATGATTTCAGCACACTTGCATAAACTCTTGTAGCTGTCTGAATGCATAACAACCATAATGCATGTTGTCTTGAACTGCAGCTATGACCTTCTTTCACTTACTTGCTAATGTGGGGCTGACTATGTTATAGGTGCATTAATGCCCCAACAGTGAGCACATCCTATGAGCTTTATTTGATAGCTTTATTTGCTAGTGCATAACTAAATTCAGATGTCTCAGAATTTATTTCCATGCTTCTGTTTGTAGCTTTCTCTGTAGGTTTCCCCATTATTTCTTTTTCAACCCAATAATTGCTTTTTGATTTTGAATTGCCTTTCTTGCTTCTGAGCTCCCTGCATGATTGTCTACTGGTACAATTTCCCCCTAAATCCTGCCTCATCACCTAGGATATGGTGCATATCACATTATTATGAACCTGTGTTTTGCAGTAACCCCTGGGTCTGTGCCTTATTTGATTCCTAGCTATGAACCATAACTTCCGTTTTCATTATGATCATAGAATCTTTTCTTATTGCTTTAATATAGCCTGCATACTTCTAACAAGATAGCACATGAAATATTTGCTTTCTGAAAATGACCAGCAGGGTGGGATGTTTTTTATGTCTTGGAAAATTTTAAAGTCAGGTTAGAGCATGAAAGTTTAAGGACAAACTCCACAACTCATGTCTTTAAAATCCTTCTCAGTTTTTATTTATTTTATGGTCACATTATGCAAATCTTTTTCATCTCAAAACATTTTATAATATTCATTTTTAATTAGAGAATAGTTGCAACTTTACCTAATTGCTCTTCTGTGCATGTGCTATGCTGGATTCCGTGTGCAGCTTGTCTTAAGAATTTAGATTTGCAGGTATATGGCTCATTTGCAGTGATATTCCTGGTATCAAGTGTGTTGATTCAGATTGAGGCTTTCAAATGGGTTTAATCTAAACTTTTATAAAAACTTATTATTTTGAGTTGGGTTAGATATAACATGTTGCCCATACTCAGGAGTCATAAGATGAATGGTATTTTCACAAGTTGAATTAATCTTTATTTTTACTGCAGTATCCTGGCAAACTAGGGAAGTAACAACTATAAGGATTGATATAAATAACTGTATGGTACAGCTCTTTCAAAGCCAGCTCTCTGTGTGGTCTTCAGAGGAGTGCATATTGTGTTTGCAAAGTGATACGGTTTTCCAGTCTAGTAATAGAGGTTTACGCCATCAGGTTCAGAGTTTCCTATCTTAAGTGTTCAAAAATGGAGACACCTGGCATTTAAAACAGCTTGTAACTACAACCTTATCTTTAAGATAAGAAAACATCTGAGTTAAAAAAAAAACACCCAAAAACCAAAAATATACCTATAAAGACCACTATTTTAGACCTATTTAATACTCATTATATAGTCAACTGGGGGAAAAATATGTTTGTAGTTTGGATATTCAGTCATTTATATGGTCATTTGTAAAACATATACTTGTTTATATTTCAGAACATTCAGACTAAATCAATCTTAGCTCATATTTCTAGGTAAATTTATGTTATTTTAAAAAATTACTCCAACATTGTGATATTTGATTTTGTTACTAAAATATACTCTCTGCTGTCAGAATTAGGAACTATCTTATAATACTACTTCAATAAGATTTATAATCAATTTAGAATACTCAAAGAGAAAGGCAAGAAACACAAGGAGCTGGTTAGCAAAAGGCTATTTTTTTTTTTTTTTAATATAACACTTACTTATTAGGTTAGTTTTTTATTGGTTTACATAATCAGGTAAAAAGATTTCATCACAAGCATTTCTATTTTTTCCTAGTTCTAATTAATAAATGAAGTTGCTTTAAAATTTTTCCTTTTAGGCTTTTATAGACTTTATTTGTAACTGTACTAGTTTTGGCTAGAGAATGTCTGCATTATCCATTTTGACATGTGAGCTATAATTTAGCCCCTTGGCTGGCCAAATTGCAATATCACTTTAAGTAGTCTATTGTCGATTCATTTGAAGAGAATTATTCAGTAAAATCCTGGAATCCCTTGGCAAGTTTGCTGTTCTTACCTGAACTAGCTGTGGGAGAAAGTCTAGTAGTTCATCACTGAAGAGCTGGTCTAATTGCTGAACTGCCACTTTACGAATTTCTTGATCTGGAAAACTAATACAAAGTAAATATAACTATGAAGCAGTAATGGTATGGAATAATACATGAGAAATGTCAGGGAAACAGAATGAGTTCCACCCTCAGTTCATAAAATAAAATAAGAATCCCACAATCCATTAAGATGATCATTAGTACCAAATAATAATAATTATTCCATATTCTTCTATACTCTCATGTAAATTGCAGTAGAAAGTCTTTTTGACTAGATTTTGGAAACTTGGGTTTGATTCAGATCCCTGCCAGCTCTCTTGTCTATAAAATGTAGATGACAGGATAACTAACATCTTTTCTAAAATAGTATGAAAATCTTGGCTTATAATTTAGCCATGCATTTATTACTTAAATTATTACCAGCTGGACACCTGATGGTTTATATGATTAAAAGTGGAATATATTTGAATGAGTTTGGACAGATCATAATGAAAATTAGAAATCTAAAGTATTTTATAATAAGTAAAAATAATTTAATAATGCGAAATCTTGCTAGACCACGAGTTCCTGAGGGAAACTGTGCCTTATTCATTTTGGGACTGCACCTGCCTGTGGTAAGATTTAGCACTCACTAGATACTTAATACATGTATGTTACTGCACTAAATTTATGGGGATATTTAGCATTTGAAACCACATTTCAAAAGCAATTCATCCTCAAATGGGCTCCTCAGGTTGCCATTATCTTTCCATCAGAAGAATTAGATTCAATTATCTCCAAGCTCCTGGAGGTGCCTGGAGGTAACTCTGGCACCATCTTGCTTTGCCATGATTTCGACCTACTGCTTTGACATGATTAAACAGAACTAAGCTTTGATTAGAACAATTAATCTTAAATAAACACATTTTCTGAAAAAGAAAAAAAGGCATAATTGAAAACTTGAAGAACTATTTACAGTAACTCATTTGAAAAACAAAGTAATGAATAAGCAAATAAACAAAATTCCCAAATCGTTTTGTGTGGGAACTGACTGAATGATTATTATTTTTTTTCCAACCAGTCAACTGAGATCTCTGAAGATTGGCTCCCAATACTGTGGAGATCAGAAAGCTTTCAAGTCTTTAACATCCAGTCTTTTCTCAGCATATCAGGTCACAGAAGGGTAAAATGAATACTATGCAGCTACAGTGTAAAGAAAAAATGGTATTACTCAGTATCTCTCAGCTCTCCTTGACAGTAGTTTGAAATGTAATGTTTAAATAGGATACATTATTTTTTCTTTATTTAAATTGAGCATTTTAATTGCAACAAGAATTTCACTTCCAAAGTTAGTCACTCAAAGCCTTTATTTCTGACCTGCAAATACATTTCCAATAATTTTCTCTCTTTGAACATTCTAACAACAAGACCTAGTGAGAACTGTAGCCCAGATACATCTCATGAAGTACCACAAAGGTCAGAAGATCTCAGCCTAGCATCAAAAACAGATGGAGAGCAGAAAGAGTGTAATAAAAATGCAAAGCTAAAAGAAGGTCAGCTTGTTTTAGCACACTAAGGCTTTATTTTCTCCTAACTAAATGTGATTGACTCTAATTTATTGCTCTCAATTACTAAAGCATTTGTCTGAAGCTTGCTGACATCAAGGTCAGTGTGAGGACGTTTGAAGTCTTAGAGAGAATAGTTACTTGGTACATTTTGTTGCCTAAGTGATGACTTAAGTCAGATATGAGTCACCCATGCTTTTTTGGGTGCCTTTTGAAAAATCTTATTGCTATGAATGACAACAAAAAACAGAAAATAGAAAACACACCAGGACAAAACTTTGATGAACACTATACTTATGTACTTATTTCCAAATATTATAATATAAACTCTATGAAAGCAGATATTTTTTTTGCCTGTTATATCCCCAGTGCCTTCAGATTGGTGGTCATGCTCTACATATTGTTTGAAGAAATACCCAAACTGAATTAATTGTCTTTCCACTTAAAATGTCTCTACTGCCAGACGGTTTGCTTGTAGTCTGTGTTATCTTTTTCCAATCATGTAGGTGTAAAAATTTAAGAGATATTTTACCCCCCTTATGCCCTTGTCATTAAATTTTTTCCTCTTTCCCATGTGCTGAAATTCTATTCATAATTGAAGTCAAAGCTCAAACATCAATTTCTCTGTGAAGTTGTTCTAGCTATTTGTATCCCGGTAGAATTATCACACCCTTTTCTATGGGATTCCATATTATGTACATGATTGAAGGCAGGCTTATTCATTTATGAATTCTTAATGCATGCACAGTTGAATAAAAGTTTGTGGAATTCTTAATAGCTGTTTATCTTGATATCTAATTAGTTGCCAAGTTCTATTGATTTTTCTGTTCCAATGACTGTAGCATCATGCCTGTTTTTAGTTTCTTCTGTGACCATCCAGTCTAGGCCATAATTATCTCATGTTGGTACTAATGTTTTTTATACTGATACCTAATAAAATTTCCTAAATTATTTGTAAGTTTATTTCTCATAAAACATTGAATAGTTTTTTACTTTCAATGGGGCTCTTTGAGGCCCCTCTAGATATGCAAGGCTATCTGAACATTTCAGATTTTTCTACTACTGTAATACTCTGCAATGCTCTGGCTCACTGGGGTGTTTATTCTTACTCTGGAAATGCCACATGAATTATCACCTCTGTGAGCACTGTAAATATCACTATGAACACCTTCCTTTCTCTTCTTAAAGTTCTAGTCCTCCTTCAAAATGGAGACCAAATATTCTTAAGGTAACAATACCAGTCTTAGTAATCACTTCTCTGAACTCTAACGGCATTGACTAGATGACTCCATGGTCAATTAGGATATGTTAGTGTGCATTAGGGTTTATCTTTTTATAGATGTATCAGCATTCCTCAACTGGTGGATAAATCAACTGAGGACAAAGATTGCTCCACCTTTTTTGGTTTTGTTTTTTATTCCTAGATTTAGTACAATGTTTCATACATGTTGAGTGATTAATAAAAAATGAATTGATTATGATGATAATAAAGAAATCACATTATGAAGCCTCTTTTATTTTTTGCTGTGCTCTGGGATATTTTATATAGGTAGCAATAGGTTTAATTCCACAAATACCACTCATATAAATATCAGAGCCCCCCCCCCCTCAGTCACGTGGTAAGAGAAAAACAAATCTGAAGGCAATGCTAAAAAAAAAAGTATTTTTTACAGACACCTTCAGGAATCCCCACTCTCCAAAAAACTCACAATTTCTACATAATATAATCCAAAAAAAAAAAAAATTATATGTTTGTATCAATATGTACAAATTCTGGAAAGAATGTTTCTGCACCTTAATGGAAAGGGATGTCTCTTTTATTCACTACTGTTGCTTGAAGTTCAGAAAGAAACTGAGAGAGAAATTGCTAAGAAGCTAACCACATGACATCCTGAGATGTGACTAAGACCTAACGACATTAAAGCACATCCAAATATAACTTGCATTTGACTATTTTAGAAAGAGTTGGCCACGTTCAAAGAGGCGCTGGCAGTGCTGGAGAGGTTCCTGGGAAATGGACTCTTTCAGACATTGCTGGCAATATATAGCAACATGGATTTTTACAAACATCGTTAAAATGTGCTTACTTCTTTTCTAGAAATTTTATTTTGGGGAATTTATCCTAAGAAAATAATTGAAAATGTGAGTGAGGATATATGTACGTAAGCAACACTGGAAATGATAAAAAATGTCTAAAAATAAAAGGCTAAGGATGCCATGAACATATGATAGAACATATGTAGTCATTAAACTATTAAACAAATATTTAATGATATAAAACATTATGAAAAATTTATGTGAAAGATCAAAATATTAATACCAAATATCTGAGCAGAAGTTTCTTGGATGACTATAGTTATCTTTTTTAAGCTTTGTTTTATAAGTTTTTTCAAACTTTTTACATTAAAGTTTATGAGTTACTAAAATATTAAAAATTTTTTCTTTATTAATTTTTAGAGAGAGAGGAAGTGAGAGGGAGAGAGAGATAGAAATATTGATGAGAAAGAACATTGATTGGCTGCCTCCTGTATGCCCCCCACTGAGGATTTGGCCCACAGCCTAGGCATGTGCCCTGACTGGGAATTGAACTGGTGACCTCTTGGTACATGGGTCAAAGCTCAACCACTGTGCACACTGGCGGGGCAGTTACTAAAATATTTTTAAAAATACAGCCATTCAATTGATTGTGAAAATATATTAATAATGAAAAATTGGTTACCACTAGAAAAAGTTCAAAATCATCTGTCCTTTTAAGAATTTGTGTTAAAGAATAAGAATCATATTTTTAAGTCAATTTAGAATATTCTTTTAACATAATAGGCCCAATAGGGCTCTTCGCTTCTGCAGAATTTGTGCTTAATACCTTTTCAGGGCTCTGAACTTAGCCATAGATCAAAGGACAGATATGTTCCATAAATTCTGGCATTCTGTCTGTATCCTGTTGTCTGAAATTATTTAAACATTCTTTTTGGGATATAGCTATTGGCATTTCATGCTCAGTTACTTGTTCCTCAATGAGGTGAGGGCTACCCATATTTATTCTCTGACTGTGGTGTGATAGTTGCAAACTGAAATATCCCAGGTAACAGAAACTTTGCAACTTATTTTGAATTTCCCACAAGCCAGGTATTTGTACTTTCCAATAATCCAATTTGCTTGAAAAATACATATAATTCCTGCCAATCAACCAGGAGCCACTTAGCGATGCTGATTACCATGTTACTGTAATTGCTCTAGGTATGGACATTACACCTTGAGTCTGGGGAAGGAAAACCAATACTGTTAGACAATTCATCAGGCTGATATCAACCAAGTCTTCACTTATTTACAGTTATAAGACATTTCCTTATAATCAATCAGAAAATAGATTATTTACAATGTAATAAATGGAGATCTGTCTAGTTTGATGTATTAAAAAGATACAAGGGTCAGCCGTGGCCAGGTGGCTCAGTTGACTAATGCATCATCTTAGACACCAAAGGTTGCGGGTTCAATCCCCTGTTAGGATGTGTATGGGAG